CTGGTGTTGACGGATTCGAGAGCAAATATTTTATTCAAGCGAACTAGACTGGTTATAAACCGGTTCTCGGTCCATCCGGTCGGACTGTGTCCAACCCGATTTAATTTAAAAATAATAGATAAATCATGATTAATGTTATTTATATATTTAATTTATAATACAATCGTAATATTTTTTTCCTGTGCATCGCACGGGCCATGCACTAGTTTATATAAAAGGGACATAGAAATAGAAAAATTAAATAAACAAGTAAGTGAGTTAAGCTCATTAGTAATAAATTTAAATAACAAAATATAGAATTTTTAATAATGGATAGGCGAGATATAAGTCTTGAACTATATGAAATCTATATATATCTAAAAAGGTTGATGTAAAAATCATTTTTAGAAACCTAAAATAAATGGAGTTGACTTTTGACTTTCTATTTATGTATTCTCAATCAAATTTTGAAAGAAATCGTGAGAAGGATTATGATATTGATATTCACGTTAATTAAGTATCGGATAATCCCATTAATTAAGCAAATGGAAGATGAAATGAATAGTTCCGTTAATTAAGCATTGTATATTCCCCTTTTTTTAGGAATGGATATTCCCCTTACTGTGATAAGATATATACATGTGATAAATAATTTGTTGTTGCATCCCAAAAATCATGGAATTTAATATCTATCCAAATACTATCCATAATTATCTTCAATCACTTTTGGTTAATAAAAACAACATCTTCCAATTTTTTTTTTCGGTCAATTCAAACGTGCAGAAAAAAAAAATTGTATAAAAGGATATTCACTTCCACCATTACAACTCATCATTCACGAGTACAGAGAAATAGAAAATACAGAGAAAAATTTAACATCACATCGATAATATAATGCTGTCAGGTTGGGGTACACTTGATTCCGTTAACAGGAGAAACAAACCTCTTTTGCGTTTGAGAGCAATCCAAATTATTGAAACGCATCACGAACGGGAGAATTGTAACGCATTCCGTATACTGTTTCATGATGAACAGGTAATATTTACCTTTCTTATTTCAATTTAATATAATTTGTAAAAATATCTTAATTAATATTTATAATTTTCTATAGTAGGGTGCATTCATTAAATGCATAATACGTCATCCGAATATGAGAGCATTTCGAGGTAGACTGAACGAAGGCGAGGTGTATTCAATCTCCAACTATAATGTTGAATTTAATAATGGAAGAAGAGATTTAACGCACATGTGGAAACTTATGCTTCATTGAAGAACTCTGCTATACAAATATGACGGGATTTTCCCTCAACATGGTGATATTTTTGCTCAACAGTAGCGAAGATCAAGAGATGTTGAAGATATTTAGTATTTGATTAGAATTATGATTTATATTATGAATTTTATTATTATTCCGTGTCGTGAAAGCTTATTATTTCTATTATGGGGAAATTTCTACATTACCCTTAATGAAGGCATTTATCAGTCATTAGATCATCAGATCTAATGGCCCATATATATTCTTATTTCTCGCATTAAGTACCATTCTCATGTGAGCGCGACCCTATATATATATATATATATATATATATTGATATATGAAACGTTAAGCATAAATATGCTATTCCTCTTAATTAAATATTTAAAAGATGTGTTAGTGGCGTAACAAATATAAAATCAATATTAAGAGTACTAAAAGATTTGTTTCATCTATACTTCTCATTCCTATGATAAACATGTTCCCTTATTTGTGTATATCCATATCATATAATACATATTATATTATTATTTAAATTATTCTTTCCAAATTTTCGAAAATTATTATGAGTCTTATCTATATCTATATATATATATATATATAAAGATTGTTGAAAAAATACATTAATAGAAAGTTTGACCTAATAAATAAAACAATTGACTTACTATAAATGGAAAGTTCGAAAAAATACATGTTAATCTTTAGTAACAAAATCTGAATCCTATTTTTTTGGTAACTAATTTGGAGATTCTTATGGCAAAATTTGAATCCCATTTTTTTCGCATCATATTTTATTTTTTGTACCAAAATTTAAATCATATATTTTGGTAACAAATTTAGAGATTCTTATGCAAAAAATGTGTCAATTATTTATGAAAACAATTCTAAATACAAATTAACTTAAAGACCGTACAAATTGGATACGAATTTAGGAAACAAATAGTTGTATAATTCTTAACCAATTCTTCCAATTTTATTGAATAATTTTTTCTTTAAAAAAAGTGTGTAAATTGGATAAAACCACGTGCAATTTTTATTTTAGAATAAAACTGATATTTGAACGGGATGTACATTCAAAATTGTGTCCACATTTTCGGTAACAAAAGCGATTCATCTTTGATATTTAAAGTCACCTTATCCAATTATTTAGGAAAAATTGTGTGCAACTTTTCAGAATTTAAATGCATCAATTTTTTTGGATTCTTATGTTTTTCTTAACCATGTTTTACCGAGATTTTGGTAAGTTCATATCATTTTTTTTTTGTTAAGTTCATATCATTTTCTTTAGGAAAGAGACAGTTGCATAAACACTAACAAATTGTTTCAATTTTTTATTAAAATTATTTTCAATTCAATTTATTTGGTAAAAAAATCGGTACAGTGTTAGGAAAATTCGGTTGCATTTTTAGGAAAAATTGATGATTTTTTATTTTGTTTAAAAAAATATTCGGATCAATTTGTTTGATAATAATCAGTTTATTGGTAGAAAAATCGGCTTCATTTTCAGTAGTAAATAATAATTCTTTTTAATATATATAAAAAGGTTGTTGGAAAAATACTTAAATAGAATGTTTGACTTATTAATTAATTTGTTTGACTTACTAATTTAGGAAAATTTGTTAAAAAGCACGTGCAATTTGAGTAAAAAAAATGAGATTTTAAAAGCAATATTAGAATCAATTTCTTAACAAAAAAACCGGGAGGATGATGTTGAATTGTGGATGAGGATAATGTCAATTGATTCTTTCTGAATTGAAAGGTCACATGTGAAATATATACACCAAGGATATCTAATTTATTAATTACTTAGGGAGCATGATTGTAGGAGATCAAAATATATCAATGTAAATGTAACATCAAGCCATATAAAACAAGTTACGTTATAAGTAATTTAAACATTCTTGGTAAATTTTAAATTATTATATATAATAAATCCTTTGTTTTTTTATATATTAATAGATACTATCTCCTTTTTTTTTTTAAATGTCATTTTGACTTTATTTCTTTTCGGAGGGCATCAACCAACTCACGGATTGAGCTTGCAATAACATTAAGCACTTTTTCCCCATGAACAATTAACCAAATAAATGACGTTTTGGATCTTTTGTACATATTTTTTCATTATTACCTCAATCTAGCTAATAAATACACTACATCTTTTCATATTCATTCTTCATCTTTTATCAAAACATCCATCTCTATCCTCATTAATGAGGGTTATTATTTAAAAAAAAAAAATCTTAATTACTGTGCAACTTTTCAAAACGATACTTATTAAAAAAAGGAGGGAGTACTATATATGTACTTATATATATATATATATATATATATATCTATATATATATATATTGAAAGAGGTTGATTAAAAAATCATTTATAGAAACTTGATAAAAAATTTGAGTCAAAACCTTTGACTTAGTTCTTTTGGAAATTCAATCTAATATTATAAAATAACAATAGGGATTTACTTTAAGTTGAAATAAAGTTCTCGCCTAAAATTTTAGATTTTACTACAATTGATAACTTTTTTTTAAAATTTTGAAAAATTGGGAGTTGATTTGTAATTTGAATTATAGCGCCGACGTTGGATGTGGTCGAGTCTATCAATGAGTACATGACATCATTGAATTTGTTGGATGGTCGTATGTACTTGAGTTCTGACAGTACATGCAAATCGGATTCTAATAATGATTTTTTGTCTGATTTCCATACGCCTGAGTTTTTGAATAGTATCAAGTGTTCCGGAATACCGAACCATGAGTTGTATTTGAAAATTGGAACTCCGGTCATGTTGTTGCGGAACATGGATCATTCTATGGGTTTGTGTAATGAGACATGATTGGTTGTCACAAAGCTATCCAGTCATGTTCTTGGGTGTAAGATACTCACATGAGATCATGCTGGTGATAAGGTGTTGATTCCAAGAATGGCCATAACTCCTTCTGATGTTAGAATTCTTTTTAAGTTCCAACAGAGGCAATTTCTCATTATGGTTTCTTGCGCCATGACTATAAACAAGAGTCAGGGACAATCTTTATCTCATGTTTGCTTATTTCTTAAGAAACCATTATTCAGTCATGGCCAGTTATATATTGTTGTCTCACATGTCACTAACCAAAAATGTTTGAAAATCTTAATTTGTGGTGAAGATGACATGCCAAAGAATCAAACCAACAATGTTGTATATAGGGAAGTGTTCAATAATATATGATCTTTTCAGTTTAATTATATGTTTATATGTCTATTCTTATGATCATGATCATTGCATTATTACATAATTTATATACAAAGGTGCATTCTAAAAAGCGTATAGATAATAATTTCCCCGTGCATCGCACGGGTAATTACTAGTAGAAAGAAAGAGAATTAAAGAAGTAGATTATTTAATAGAAAAAACAATTAAGTATAAATATATAGAAAAAGACGAACAAAAATTAAAACAAATAGATTATAATATATAAAGTTATAAATAAAAGTTAAAAAGTTAGTAAAAATAGGACCACCTAAAACAATAATATAAAATGATATAAGAGCACGACAACGATTTAAAAATAAGAAAAAATAAGTACAAGAAAAGTATATCTTAATATAGAATGAGAAATAAAAAAAAAAAAAAAGGATATAATAAGATATAACATATTAAGTGAATCTATAGCTTCAGAATTTTATTATAGCACATGGACAATTTGTGTAGAAAAATTAAAAAAATTAATAAAATACAAAAACAAATACCAATTGCATAAGATAGCATATAACAAAAATGCTACACACACCAAGTGGGCATTACCCATCGACTGAGCCCAAAGATAGTACCTAGTAAAGCAAATGGATACTTGTCCAAATTTTATTGGCTGGAGTGCCACGCATATTGTTGGCATCGACTGATGGTTTCCATGTATGAATTTTGAATTTGGTCAGAAAAAATCAGACTTTAGCGTGATGAATATAACTTATAAGCCTGAAAATGGATGTAGTGACATTCGGGATAATCGTTGCCATAATTATCCTATTTCTCTGCGCCGTCTGCTTCATTGCTGTTGAGGGCACCTGCAAAAGAAACTCACCATCTTAATAATCCCAAACCCCTCTTAAATCTTGCTGAAATTTCACATTTCTATTTTCTCCCGTATCCTTATTATGGGGGAGTTTTCAGATAAGCACTCGCAGATCTGTTCGCATTTCTTCGGCGTTTTGGTGATTGTGGGGTTTCTATTCAGTGCGGCCATCGGTCATCAGTGTAGCCATGGACACGGCGGCCATCATGATAACCACCATCATCATGATGTGCACGATGAGGATTTAGGATCGATCAAGGAAAATGAACGGCCGCGAACCCTTCTTCCTGAGGAAATTGCTGAAGAGGAAGATCTGAAGATGATGTGGGCCCAGGATGATAATCATGTCCACGACTTTGGGCATGGACATAATGGGCATAAGCATGATGTCGACCTTTCTGGGCGTGGTATATAATTTCTTCTCCTCTTTGGTAATTGAATTCTATTCCTCTTTTATTTGGTTGCTTGTTTGGTTTTACCAGTTTATTTTTATTGTGTGTGTGTGCGCGCCCTCACGCTTAGTTTTTCTAATATTCGCTACATAGCACTTAGTATTGCATTTTCTGTTGAGTTAATCTGCTTTGGCCGAATTTTGATCTTAGGATAACCATACTTCTTTGAAACAACTCTTGTGCGTTTTTGTAGGTTTCGTGCTTAGGAAACAATCTCTCGGTCCTGTATAGTGTTACGGTCAATCAATGAACTGCAAATATTTGCATGCCTGTGTACCGTTGTCACCAATTTTCTTCTTGAATTTTGATCAAACTTTTGCTTGTTACATTATGTGAAATAATAAATATTAATGCTAAGTGAGCTGATATCTTTTAGAACTCATATTGTACATAAGCTTGTTTGTACTGCCGGATAGTCATGTTTGAATCTTTCTGGTGATTAGATTTGATTATTATGGTTTAATATTATTGCGTAAGCAATCTATTGCAAAATTTAACGTTCCTACTTACTGTTTGACAGGCCTCTGGATCCATGCCATGGCTTGCTCGCTATTGGTTAGCTTTGCTTCCCTTATTTGCCTGATTTTGTTGCCTCTAATATTTAGTAAGTGGTCTAAAATTTCAATATCACCTTTTCTTCTTGTTCCTGATAAGATGAAAACTTGTGCTTATTTACTTATAGCTGACTGATGGGTGTTTTATGTTTTATGTTCTTGCAGTACAGGGGAAGCCATCAAAGGCAATTGTTGATTCCTTAGCTTTATTCGGGGTTGGTTTTCCTTATTCCCTCGTTCATTCTTATGTTACTAGAATTTCCGTTAGTTCTTATTCACTGTAGCTTGTTGTTTTTATTTAATAATATCAGATTACTTTTATCTCATCCAAAGTGCACCTTCATTTTCTCTTTGAAATTTTCTAAACAGATTCTCATTTTAAGATCCCTTTTTTGACCTGAGAAAACTCCACATTAGTAAACTCATGGGTAAATAGAGGATCTTATTAAGTGGGGAAATGGGATGGGACGATTTCTGATATGAGTTTGCTCGCTATCTCTCTCTCTTTTTCTGTTCCTTTTGTTTTGGGTCGGAGTCGGGACAGGTGGTTCGGCAGTGTATAAAGTGGCATTTTTTCCTAGGATCTTCTTTAAAGTGCTTAATCTCTCTTCACCATTACGTCATTTAACTAGGGGGATCACTTTAGTGCTGTCTGAGTATATGATTACCCAAACTCTATCTTGATTTTATAAGAGTGTTTTTATTGCAGGCTGGAGCCATGCTGGGTGATGCTTTTCTTCATCAGTTGCCACATGCTTTTGGTATGAATATACTTTAAAAAGAAAGTTTTTAGTATATGATACTCTCATTGTGCTTATAATTATGCTCGCTTCCTTTTTTACACGACAAAATTTCCATTTATTGTACTATATGTTACCTTTATATCCACAAGTTTGAAACTCTTTTTGATTTCCCAATGAAAGAGCCCTTATTATTTAGTCAAATTATGGATTTCAGCCTTGGTAAGACCTGGACCGCATAGTCAAATGCAAATCATTTTGAAACAGATATGGAGGCGTATTATTTGCTTGAACAGAAATTGGGCATATAACTTACTTCAAATTGCCCAGGCATCCATGAAACTTGATATTATGTGCCGTAAGCAAAAGGGAGAATGGTAAGAAGGTGCTTTACAGAGAAATTGACCAATTTAGGTAACAAAGTAATGAAGCTGGAGTTGTATACAAACATGTGATAATTGGTTATGGAGCACAAAAAAAATGAGGCTGATATTAGGGTGTCTGTATGCTTTGTATGCCATATATGGATAAATGAAAGTGTGAAATTCTGAATGGTATGTAGGTTTAAGAATGTTGTTCTTGCTTTATTGGAGAGGTCTGATTGGTGATTTGGCCACTTGATTATTGCAAGGAAAATTTTGTAATTGTTGCAGTAAATTGATTAGATAAACTATTATCAATGTTATATCTTTCTGTACACATATTGAGTGTATACAGTGCAAATAGTACCTTTGATATTAAAGAATTGTGCTACTCCTCTTGTGCCCTAATATGGGAGGTGCAAAGTATAATCCAAACAGCAGTCAGGTGGATAATAAAATTATGGGCTTCTATTATATAACCACGAAGTGTTCGATTTAGTTGTCCATTGCAAATGGAGCTGGAAGAGTCATTGTTGACAATTCTCCTGGCGTAGTGCTAATAATGGACTAAATCAAAATGGCTCAATTAAATTCTAGTGCTTCTTCTATTAGTGAAGTTTCTAGAAAAAAAAAAAAATATATCAAACGGCGCAATGCACCTTGGGTCGCTACAGAAACAGCCTCCTTGTATAATTACAAGGGTAAGGTCTGCGTACAACTGACCCCCCAGACCCCAACTTGTTGGGAATATACTGGGTATGTTGTTGTTGTTGTTGTTGTTGTGAAGTGTTCGATTTAATGTGTTGAAGTCATTGTAAGGTGTAATGGGGGAAGACTTCGGAACTAAAGTAATTTGTTGTTTTGGTTCTTAGTATACAAATTTTAGTCCAAATGGTTTCATGTATAGCTCAGGTTCATGTGATGATTGTTTAAATAAGGTTATGTTGGTTAGTAATGTTGATTTTGTTTTTGCTATGTTTTTCCCCCCAACTCCCATATTTTTATTTTAAGTGTAAATCTCATTTTATAAATAGAGCAGAAAACCATATTACTGTTATTGATTATTGAATTCTGTAATGTAGTACAATAGGACAAATTTCAGGAAGGTTAGCAGTATGAGTTATGTTGTCCTAAGCGAGGATCTTTTTTCTTTTTCTTTTTTTTTTTTCATGTTTCAATTTTCATGTTTTCAGTTATCATATTTGATTTTGTGTTTTATTTCATGTTTTCAGGTGGCGAGCACTCCCATTCACATGATCATCCTGATGATCACGATCACCAGCATGCTAATTTTGGACCCTCACATTCACATTCCTTAAAAGATCTTTCTATTGGTTTGTCAATCTTGGGTGAGTAAAACAATGTAAAATAATATTCTGGATTGTTTTTTCTTCCTGTTTTTCTTAGCTTAACACAATGTAATATAGTTTGCTCCTTTGTTTCGCTCGGTTAAATGTGTATTGTTTTCCCTGTGTTACTATCCTTGCCTCTGTTGTTCATAAATCTTTAGGAAGTCTGACTTTTCATTTTTTACAAACCGTCGTTCTTTTTATGATGCTTTTTGTTGCAGCTGGAATTGTAGTGTTTCTCATTGTAGAGAAACTTGTGAGATATGTGGAGGAGTTTTCTGGAGGAGAAAGTGCTTGGGGCATTGGTCACCACCACCACCATCATAAACACACCAACAAATTAAGTGAAGAAGATCATGCATGTGAAAATAATCAAATAGCGTCGCATGAAGAGAAGAAAGAAAGTTTTTCATCGGATAAGAAATATGAAGAGAAAGAATTGGATGGCCCTGCTGAGACTTCCTCCAGTGATAAAACAAGTGAAATAGATTCATTGAGGAAGGTAGATACAAGTATATATAAATTTGATCAATCTCAGGGCCAGCAGTTGTGGAGATTGAATATTTTAAAGGCATATATTTTTCCGATTACTGAAAAAGGGTTTTTGGTTCTGCCTGAACTTATCTATACATCCTATTACCTGCAGAGAACTACTAGCAGTAATGTTTATAAAAATGGAACTGTTTCATGTGCTAAAAGCATCTCCAATAGTAACAGTGAGTCTGTTCATATTGAAGAATCTGGCAAGTCCCGTTCAAGTTTGGTGTTTGGTTATCTCAACCTATTCTCAGATGGAGTGGTAGGTCATTTCTGTCTTGAATTTCCTTATTCTGATGTGGTCTTTCATACACGGTTCGGATATCTAGACCAATTGTTTTGTTCAAGTCCCTTTTTTTATTAAAATAAATAAATAAATGATTGGGCTGATCTGACCATAACTGATAATGTATGTGCTCAATTTTGAACTGTCACAGCATAATTTTACTGATGGGATGGCATTGGGAAGTGCTTTCCTCCTTTATGGTTCAGTTGGTGGTTGGTCGAGGACTCTGTTTCTACTTGCTCATGAGCTTCCTCAAGAGGTATGATTTTCTGCCATGGTTGTATTTTATAAAATTACACCATCATAAGTGTAGAGCAGATTTCACGCTTCTTTAGTTCCCGGAACAGTAGAGCAAGAAGTGGTCTCTGTGAAGCGAGATTATATTATTAACTTTTGGCTGGGTATAAGCGATGGATCTACAAATTGGCTGCAAATGAGAAGTTGAATATATAGTTTATGTTTGTCAGAATCTTTGATTTTTAACTTCTTATCTGATTTTTGTGGTGGGTAACTTCCACGACTTATGTACTTTTGGTGCAGTTGTGTCCATGTTACATAGTTATAAAATAGGTGTGACTGCATTTTTTAGAATAATCTGATGGAAGTTACATGATAATGCAAAAGCTGTCTTGCGTGCTATAGAATTGCTTTTACGGACAAAATTTGCAGATGAGAAGTGTGCTTTTTAAGTGATGTTTATTGTGTTTTTCCTTAAAACTAGTGTAACATAATGTGGCTTATCATTGCAATGCTTTGGAAATTTGAAGTCCAAGACAACTCTTATGATGCTGTTTTACTTGTGGTTTCTTTCTGTAAAATTGTAAAGTTAAGTATATTCTTGTCGAGCCTTTTGCAGATAGGTGATTTTGGAATTTTGGTGAGATCTGGTTTCAGTGTCTCCAAAGCCCTTTTCTTTAACTTTCTATCAGCACTTGTAGCATTAGCTGGGACTGCACTGGTTAGTACCTTGTTATGGCCAAGACATTATTGGTTTTACTTGTATCATTAATTATTGGGGAGATGATACTTATTTGGGTGAGTACTCATCAGGCTTTAATGTGGGGAAAAGATACCGGGCAGTCGTCTTTGATTGAGGTGATCCAGAATAATG